TTATATATATATATATCTGATAATTAACTTTTGAAAAAAAAGACTCACCAATTGCAGACACGAAAAAGAAAAGAAATTTAAAATCGGTTAATTCATTCCATCGTGATTCAATTTTTCCTCGTACAAGGATAAAAGGGCACAAGGGAAACACGATCGACGCTTCATATTCCTCGAAAAAACTTTCCCACAAACGGTTGACGAAGATATGCGGGCCGATCCATCGCCAAGGTTTTACCTTTTTCTTTTTTTTTTTTTTTATTTTGTTTCTCGAGTGTGCTTCTTTTCCTTCGCTCGAGTGTGCCGACTCACATGCATTAGCGTATTCACGTACGCGGCCAGCACACGTCGCCTCGACCGTGCACCTTGTGTCGCCATTATATCTCGACCCCCTTCGGTTTGCCTGCACTCTCTCTCGCACTTGCCCACACCCAAGGGTGTGCTCTCGCCTTCTCCTCTCCAAGACAAATATTTATATCGCGAACGCCCGCTGCGCCATTGTGAAATCTCGCGGCAACTCTTGCTTCTTTCTATTAAGGTGTCGAGACCGCCTTTCCTCTCGTTGCTCACCCTCTCCCGATTTTACACGTGGAATTCTCACCAAAGACAGAGAGAGAGGGGGGAGAAATCGCACGATCGAAGTCTGTAGAGCCTCTTAAGTCGATCAAACTGTTGATGTACGTGAATTACGGATAGAATATATATATAGGTATTTGTATGAGAAAGATTTGTTATTCTTGAAGCATTCTTAGGTATTTAAAATATTGCGGAGCAATATATAAGAATCTCTGTATAAATCCTTCTGTTTAATCAATTTTGCTTTTGTTTTATAAAAGAAAAGCAGTAACGTGTTTTAATTGCGATAATGAAAGGAATCGAAGAAGAGTAATTAAATCTGCGTGACGAATAATGATAATAATTCTGTACAAAGAAAAATCAATCAAAGATTCTCTTTTCAAGAATACATTCTCAAAAGATATGAAATGATTGATTCGTGTGCACTGTGGTGGATGGATAACGTCCTGTTTGACACTAATATTTCGCCGTTGGTCTGTGGTGACAGAGCTCCAAAAGCCGCCCTCCCCGAAAATCGGGCCATCTACATTCACTCCTCGAGTATAATGCCGGCTCCCGCAGATGGCAAGGACAAATCACTTAACGCGATCCGGCTCTCCTCCCCTTTTCCCTCCGCGGAATGACAAATTATTTTCCATTATCACTGCTGATGACGCGGTACGATCACGGGTAAAATATGAAGAACATCCACTCCTGGATGAGGAGGAGTAGAGGATTTAATTAACCAACGATCTGGGCGTATACAGATTTGGCCACGCGATAACTCGCTCGATTGATTAAGAGGAAAGAGGCGAGTCGATCATCTTGACGAGAGTCGAGATTATTTTATTGATCCCTTCGATATTAATGGACGAAGATTAATTTAATTGATCTTTTCTGAAAAACGAGCACACGAAAGAATGAAAAATTCAAAAATATCGATTCGAACGAGGATATATAAAATAAATCGACCCAAAGACTGAATCTCAAAAACACCTATGACATCCCCTTAGAACAACTTATTATTCTCTCTCCAACGTTCCATGAAAGAATCCGATAAACAGCACCAGAAGACTCTTGTCGAAATTCACTGACAGCCTCGCTACACCACAGTTGACGGCATCATGCGTGCCCATGTACCTCTAGATCGAGATGAGAGACGTCGTTTTCATCGCGTTTCCGAGGTCGAAGGGCCGCGATGAAACGACAACCAAAGAAGGAAGAAAGAAAGAAAGAGGCGAGGAGAGGAGGGGAAAGGAAAACGACACACGACATGAATGGACGTGGAGCATTCAATGTTTTATCGAGGATCTATGCCGGCTGAATGCCTTCGAGGAGTACCTTTGTGCCCGTTCGCGTCACGAGGCGAGTCCTTTTTAAAAAAATAAGGGCGTGGGAGGAGTGACGACGCGAAGGACGATGGTATATATATATATATATATATACGTACGAGCGCCTGTTTTCTAGGGCTAAGAGTACTGGAGGGTAAGGCACAGGTGGCCTCTTCGTACCTTCACGCACCACTAATTTCTTCCTCATTATCCACTGTAGGCGGTCATTCGAGGTTCCGAGCTTCTTGTTCCGCATTTACCTACCTATTGTTGGACGAAAGGACCCCGTGAATCGCGTCTTCCCTCTCGAACGTCATCTCGGCTTCCTTGGGCCCCTGTGATGTGCCCTCCCCCTTCCCCCTCTCCCCGTTCATGCTACCCTCTTACTTGAAAAGAAACGAAGTTCGAGCGGTTGTAAACAAACGTGATTGTTGATAGTTTGTTATTTGGTTGAAAATAATATGTTGAGAGAAATTATACGTGAGATATATTTTCAAAATTTATTTTTCAAAAATCAAAGCCATATTTTCATGGAAAAAAATTTCGTGGAGAATTATATATCGGAATATTCTATAAAAGTGGTATGTTATCAAAGATTAGTGAAAAATTTATATTTATGTCCGACACAGGCATCTTATCATGCGTAAAGGGGATGAAGAGACAGGAGAAAAACAGCCTGAAGTATTCGCATGCAAAATCACGTGTATAGCCGCGGGCCGAGTGCGTGTAAAGTTTGCTTTCCGCTTTTGCGGCGCGCATCGTTCCGGGGTCACACCCTCTCGAGCACGCACTCCTAAATGCCGGTGACTGACACTATACCTCGGGAAAGGGGATTAGTATTTCAATTATTTACACAACGAACCCCGTCGCTCTTTCTCCGTTACGTTATTTCTATGCGAATCTTCCTTGCTGTTCGCGCTTCGCTTGATCCTACTCTGTCCCAATGTGGATAACATCGAGTGGAGGAGTCACGTGGCGATGTTTACTCACCGATGATTGCAACTTTTCAAACGCTTTTGATCATGCCGGTTGTATCAGTAATCCGACCTTGTCACGGTAAGTTAATATTCCTACCTTACCGACCTCTGCATCCGTGCTCGCCGGATTGTAAAGGGATTAAGCGTGAAGTGTCGGAAAAATATTACAATCACGCATATGGTACGAAGCGGGGAAGATTTTAGGGAATCGATCTCCAAAAAAAGACGAAATGTTTTTTATGTCCTCTGCGATCTATTGCATGCGCATTCTACGTTGTATATATAGAGGATTACAGTATCTGTTAAGATTTTTTAGGTAAAAAATTAAAGCGAAGATAATTAATAAAAATTAGTCAAATATCGGAGCCTCCTCTTATGGAGATAAATATAGAACAAGTAAGATAAGGAGAATAAATAATGAGAAAAGGATAGAGATAGTATAAAAATATTGAATTCAGCGCCATCTTCAGAGTGCTGCAAATGAAACACAAGAAGGAAGGACAGAAAATAGTAGAAAAAGATAGAGATAGAATAAGAATTGATCTTTAGCGCCATCTCTCGAAAATATATAGAAACCTAAATAGGAAAAGTTTCAGGCAGTCTTCAAAAGATGGCGCTAAAAGTCAATTCTTATTGTATCTATCCTTTTTTACTATTTTCTGTCCTTTTTTCTTATGTTTCATTTGCGGCACTCTAAAGATGGCGCTAAATGCAATATTTTTATCCTATCTCTGTTATTTTCTCATTATTCACTTTCTTTGTCTTATTTATATTGTGAATTAGTAGAAAAATAAACAAATGGCGCCATCTCTCGAAAGTATTTAGAACCCTAAATAGGAGAAGTTTCAGACAATTTTTAAGAGATGGCGCTGAATACCAATTCTTACTGTATCTATCCTTTTTTTACTATTTTCTGTCTTTTTGTCTTGTGTTTCATTTGCGGCACTCTAAAGATGGCGCTAAATGCAATATTTTTATCCTATCTCTGTTATTTTCTCATTATTCACTTTCCTTGTCTTATTTATATTGTGAATTAGTAGAAGAATAAACAAATGGCGCCATCTCTCGAAAGTATTTAGAACCCTAAATAGGAGAAGTTTCAGACAATTTTTAAGAGATGGCGCTAAATACCAATTCTTACTGTATCTATCCTTTTTTACTATTTTCTGTCCTTTTTTCTTGTGTTTCATTTGCGGCACTCTAAAGATGGCGCTAAATGCAATATTTTTATCCTATCTTTGTCCTTTTCTCATTATTCATTTTCCTTGTCTTATTTATATTTGAATTAGTAGAAGAATAAACAAATGGCGCCATCTCTCGAAAGTATTTAGAACCCTAAATAGGAGAAGTTTCAGACAATTTTTAAGAGATGGCACTGAATACCAATTCTTATTGTATCTATCCTTTTTTTTTACTATTTTCTGTCCTTTTTTCTTGTGTTTCATTTGCGGCACTCTGGAGATGGCGCTGATTTCCGAATTTTTAATCTATCTCTATCCTTTTCTTACTATTTACTTTCCTTGTCTTATCAGATGGCGCGTGATTCAATACAAATTATTATAAATATAGGATGTCGATTGAACACACTTTTGTCATTTTTCTTTCGAAATTACAATATATCTTAATCTTAATTTAAAAAATACAGACAATAAATTACAATATATTATTTATTATTATTATACATTAATTATTACGTAATAATAATTAAATAATCATCAAATATATATAATATGTATATCCAGTTTTCTTAATTTTATATAAATAAACATCCCCCGTTTATGTGAATGTAAATTAACAAATATAGTTTGCAACACTCCTATAATGATTCAGAAAACTGACAAATGACTGCAAATATTAACACTAAGATAAAGATAATAATATTTATTATTAGTACAATACTGTAACAGTTCCGATTCGAGAAATGTCAGCGCACGTTAGCAAGAGGAAAGCTGAGTGGCAATGGAAAGGCGTGGTAGAAGATCATAGTGCAATCTGCATTATTCCGTAGCCGGGGCGCGCGGGCGGCCATCAAGGCCTCTTCAGGTCAACGTGATCCAATCTGCCGTATAAAACGCCCCTCTCGACGATCCTTCGAGCACTGTTGTACTTCTCGTCGCCCCGTTGTCGTTGTTCCTCCATTATGGATGCCGTATTCGTAAGTACTCGCTCTCGATTATACATCGTAGCTCTCCATGGTGCATTGTCAACATTCGATCGTCGATCACTTCCTCGTTCCATCTGTGACGTACTCTTGAAACTATGTAATGAATACACCACCATTGACCATTGTTACTTTGTAATACACGCCGCGATTTTATCGTCATGTAACTCAAATTTCTTTCAATTTGAACTCTTAATAAAAAGATGGATACGATATTGTTTCTACGGATATTTGTTTAATTCTCATATTTTCAGGTGTTACTGTTTTCCATGATCGCATCGATCTCCTGCCAATCCCCTAATAATCAATACCAGTCGCCCCAACAAGCTGCAATTTTGAGCGATGCGAGGTATTTGGCTGGGGATGGAACTTTCGGCGCCGCTTATTCGCAAGAGGATGGCGTCGAGTTCAAGGAGGAAAGCGACGTTTACGGAAATCGTCGTGGCTCTTACTCCTACGTGGATCCTACCGGTCAAAGACGCACAGTGACATATACGGCTGGTAAAAATGGCTTCCAGGTATATTAATCTCAATTTAATCTTACTTTATTTCTTAAACACGAAAAATATTCAAATATTTGGAAAACAGTAAATTTAAGAAACTTACAAATAGAATATTATTCCCGATTATTATATATATAATTCATGATTAATCAACGAAATTAATTAAATGACGTGTACTTGATATAATATTTTATTTAATATTTGCCATTTCGCTTAAACGTCACTCCAATCCAAATTTCTCCTCTTCTATTCGAACGAACAGGCGACAGGCGACGGCATTCCCGTCCCACCCCCGCAAGCCCCGCCACAGCCAGAATACGTGCCTCTGCCGCAATACAACCCACCCGATTATCAACCACCGCGTTACACACCATCCTCTCAACAATATCAGCAACCAAGGAGTCAACCAGTGTACGAAGTGCAACCGGAACCTCAGCCTCAGCCTCAGCCTCAATTTCAACCTCGACCAGCTTATCAACCCCAACCGCAACAATACCAACCAAGGCCTCCTCAACCACCACCGGAAATCCAATCTATTCCTTCGTATAATCCTCAACCGCAATACCAACCCCCTCTTAGACCATTGCCACAATACAACGCGATAACCACGCCACCCCCACGAAGGTTTTATCCACCTGGAAAGCTGAACTTCAACAGGACTCCGGATGGTTACTCTTATACGTTTAGCAAGAGCTAAGTAGAGTGTGATTAGAAGGGAGGAGGAGGAGGGGGGGAGAGAGAAAATGACAATAAGGATTGTTTTTTTTTTTGTAGGATTTTGAAAGTCAAAAATTCTGTAAATTTACTGTAAATTATTTTTGCATTATGCATTAGAGTGATTATTTTTGGAAAATTTTATTTTTAAATTTGAGGGAAAATTGATTATTGATGATTTTGTAATTTTTCTTTTTTTCTTTTTGGATGTAGATTAATATTGGTTATTTTGAAATTGTTTTTTGAATATGATAAGATGAATAATTGGATTATAATTTAAAAATTTGTTAATTCGTGAATTTTTTTTTTTCATAAGAATTTATCAAAATTAATAAAGCATAAAATCGACGTGAGAAATTGTTATGTGTATTATAATGTAAATTTTTGGTATATTGTATCATAGTAATTTTGTTGTAATTTATTTTGAAGAAAAACTAACCTTTTTATTAAATACTTCTTAGAATATACTCGTTAATTTACTCGTATATTTCGAATTATTTATTTTAAAAGATAAAATTTCTGAAAAGAATTATAATTTATTAAATCGAATCATTTACGAGAAACGAAGGTTTCAAACAATTTACTATTACTCGTTAATAACAACGATGAAAATTTATATATTGCGTTTAATAACGGAAATGAACAAAAGGTAAATAAGATACTCGATCATGCATTTATAATTAAGAGATTGTGACGAGAACCTTGTCCATGATCTTACTTACTACAAGATTTCTCACGTGAAACTAATTGAACTTCCTCTGAAGTGCATAAATTTTGCATAAATTACCAAGAAAGATAACCAACGAATAAATTAACGGATTTATCTTACCAATTGGAAAGATTCTTTCGTCCATTTGCATTATCTTTAATTATGAGCGCAATTACATACAAATATGTTAAAATTTATAGAATCGATTGGATCAACTTCTGTTTATTTAACTTATTTAAATAATTCGAAAATATTCCACCCGATATTTTAATTATAAACCAGATTTCCAATGAAAAGCCTTGCAATTTTATTCTCCTCTTAGTATTCATATAATATACATATAGCGAACAGTACTTAAAATAGTACTCCTTTTTCTCGTCAATAATTTCATCACAAAATAATAATTAAATTTTGTAGCATAAATTCTATAGCATAAAACAAAACTTCCTATTAAAATAAACCTCCAAATTTCCCTGAAATTTTGACCCAATCGATATCGATGAAGATATCTTAATAATTATTATTAAGATATTTAAGAAAACGCCATTAAATCGAAATTCTTTTTTTTTTCTTTTTTTTTTTAATCGACTCTGTTGGCGTCGACGCCCTGCGTTTTGCATAGCAATTTCCTTTACAAATGCGAACACTATCCCGCGCACTTCGGGGTCACGTTACTTTCATTTAGCCTTTGGCGTTCTCCGATACTATTGCAAGCAAGCTAAGGAGGATCCCACGATCCGTGAGGGAGGATACGTGATCGTTTAGGCGTGATCCATGCCCTACTGCAAACACTGCCTCGAACATGTAAGTCATCTCCTTCTTAAACAAGTTACACGACACGTTACAGGAATTTTTATCGTTTCACTTGTCTTTGTGTCTATCGCAATATACCATAAATGTATCTATTCTTATATTATTTTTGCGTTTCGAAACGAATTTTATATCGATAATATGATATAGATCTCATTCCTTTTATCCCTAATACTTGTATCTAATTCACAATTGCTAGTAATTAAAAAAAAAAAACATCGTAATAAATAAAACACAATTTATATTTAATTATCAAATTATAAAAATCCAATAACTGAATATTACTTATGCCATCACCAAAATATTATAATTAACAATTTTTCATTATCCATACACATTTTTGTCTCGCCAATTTTTAAAAAATTGTATCTCTACGCAACAAAGAAAACTTCGAAGAAAGGAAATAAAAGATCAGGATGTTAACAATCTTTCTCTCCGATAATTATTCATACGATCCTCAGTCCCAATTTCTCTCGATTGTCTCGTCTAATGAAAGTTGCAATTAGCCCCGTCCAGGCTGAAACGGAAGCAGGAGTATTCGACAAAGGGGGCGATTATCTCCATTATCTCGCGAATAATATGTACTCGGTATTGTTAAGGTAGAAATGCAAGCAGTTGGGCTGGATGTCCAACGTTTACAGCACGGGTGCGGCAAGGTAAACCGGCCGTATCGAAGCAGGAACTCGATAACCTTAGCTGTGGGCCGAAAGAAACGCATACCGCGTCACGTCGTTGTCGTTTAAGAAAGTTGATCACGGGTTTAATTTATGGGGAAACGGGTGCAGCTCGTGCTGGACGCAGCCATGGACCGGCTACATATTTGTCGAGCCACTTCGTGTGCCCTGCATCCGTCTTGCTTTTCGTCGTTTTTTCTCTTTTCTTTTCTCTCTCTCTCTCTCTCTGTCTCTCTTTCTCTCTTTAACGTTACGTTAAAGCGTCACGAGATCTGATGGAAGATGTGTACCCGGCTCCCTGTATTTGTGTAACGCGTATTTTTCCATATATAGATAAATTGATGGTCTATGCGCTTCGATCGATGCCTCGTTTCTCGATCGACCAGTATTTTATTCGTCATAAAAATATTTATACCATAAAAATATATTGGAGGTATAACTGAATGATAAACGATCGAAATGTAGATGCGACATTGAGAGACACAACAAATTGAAAGTAAAATGAGGCATTTTACTTTTTCAGTCGTGTTTTATTTATAAAGGTATATTGGTTATACATTTCGTTTCATGATTATGGCAGTAATATACTGACTCTGATTAGCTGCGCGTCACATCAACAGTATAAAAGTAGTCTAAAAACAGCTGCTATTAGAGGCAGTGGCATCAAACATTCACTCCTCGCAACGAAAAGAAACAATAAAAATAATAATAATAATAATAATAATAATAATAATAATAATAATGATAATGAAAGTGGAAATAAAAGGAAAAGAAATGAAAAAAAAAGAAGAAGAGATACGTAAAGGAACGAGAAGAACAAGAAGAAGAAGAAGAAGAAGAAGAAGAAGAAGAAGAAGAAGAAGAAGAAGAAGAAGAACAAAAAAAACAACTCTCGTCTTATCTATTCTATCAACTTAACTTATCGTTATTTAGAAATTCTTATGCCAATGTGCCTCCTAACACGTTCAAATTTCAAATAATCAGAGCGAAATCCCAGATAAGTCCCAGAGAAAAGGCACTATACGTCTATTTTAAATATAGTATTCCACTCTCGATCGATACAAAGTAATACGATTAAAAATCGTTAACTCTTTATTAACATTTCCCAAACTCGAAATTCTCGTTCCGCGTGAAAATTCTCCTCCCTCCCCTCCCCTCCCGTCCCCTCCCTCTCGAAATAAGAAAAATGTGATTTCAGAGGGAAGCGCAAGATCGCGCGATACACCCTCAATAGACATATTACTGCAATCTCTCTCTAAAAAATTTACATTCACATCGACGGCGTGCAAATGGCAGGCATAATTTCCTCGAACATCCACGAGTGCTAATAATAATTCCTGGATACTCTTTATTCGTGAAGATCAAAGTCAATTCTCATGATTGCACCTTCGTCTGCGTTGCTGTGTAAATTGTGTATCTTCAACGATCGTATTTGGCTGGATCGTTGACTCGCGTGATCACGTGCGTCCAAAAAAAAAAAAAAAAAAAAAGTGAAAATCGTCGAATTTATCAAAAATTTTCGATTCGACGACGAATGATAATCAGCGCTTTCGTACTCGTTGTTGGCAAGCGACAACAATTTTCTTTCCTCGTTCATTTCAACTATTCTACATAAGTACGAACTATGTTATATAGTTAAAAAAATGTTAACTGTATTAGACGAAAGGCCGGCATTTTTTTCTCTCTCTTTTTTTTTTATCCTCCATTTTTTTTCTTCACAATTAAGCCGCTATAAACAATTATCATTCATATGCGTATTTATGTCGTACCAGTGTACAAACGTTTTTCTTCCAAGGTTGCTCGCAATACCTCCTCTCTTTTGTTTTTTCCCCTTCTTTTTCTATTTTTTTTTTTTTTTCCCTCTTCTTCCATCTTCGTTCTTCAGTAACAATCGCAAACTATTGTCGATACGATTAACGCTATATTGCACTAGTTAGAATTATACAAAATATATACCTAATGGTTAGGCTTAGCTTTTTTCTTCTTTTTTCTTTTTTTGTTTTTTTTTCTCTCTTTTCTTTTTCTTTTTTTTTCTTTTCTTTTCTTTTCTTTTCTTTTCCGAAGTATACCATTTTAGGCACCGTTGTCCTGGAATTAATTTGGATCGAAAAGAAGTTGGAAGTTGGAAGTCGTACGTGAGGCAGGAGGCACGGCAGTTCTCGCAAACACTATATTTCTCGCGCTGGCTAATATAATGTTCTATTCTAAAGACGACAGGAAGAAAGCGCTGTGAAAGCGTATCCTATGAAGTTAAGTTGGAAGAGACAGTTTGTTCACAATGCAAAGTCTCTGGAATACTCGAATCGATATCGAATAAAACGGAATTTTGCACGAGGTTGTGGTCGGTCGAAAAAATATAATTAAAAACCGACGGAACGCTTACAAGAGCGAAAACAATTTTTTGATTTAAATTATATAGGATATATATGTATATATAAACACTCGAGTTTTTTTTTACATGTACACGCACATTTCCTTTTCTCGTTATTTGTGACAAGATGGAAGTTTCCTGTATATATATGCAATGTAAACTGAATCTTACCCTTCCCTGGTTAAGTACATAATCATACTTCAGGTACCAAGGATAATCGTAACAATAAACAAGATTTTTTAAACATATATAGTAAGAAAAAAAACTGTAAGAAAGAATTAAAATCTGCTTGGTCTAGTGTAGATTATAAGAATTATAAACATCTGGGTATAATTGTGTTCGGTAATATTGTCAACACTTACGCTACACCACAGTAAAAACTACACGTTTGGTATTATAAATCGATAATACGGCTAATA